GCAGACACGTCGTGTTTTCGAAACGACTACATATACATAATAGGTCTTTACCTATGAAATTGCCGTTTTGTATGCAATAAGTGAAAGTACTTATTTTTTCAAACTTTTTATTTCTGTTATTCGAAGTAATCACCCATGCAATGGACGCATCTTTGCTAACGCATTGGCAGTTTATTGATGCCCTTCTTGTAAAAATCAACTGGACGGGAGGCAACAAACTCTTCAAATGCATTTTGTACTGCCTCTCGGGAATTGAATTTTTTACCCACTAAAAAGTTGTCTAAATTTTGGAAAAGTAATAGTCGGTAGGTGCAAGGTCTGGTGGTCACATCTTCAACCAGCTTTGATCAATCGGTCGTCCCACAGCTCCTTCACGACAACGCGCGACCCCATACTGCGCAACAGACAGTCTCCAAGCTGCAAGAGCTGGGGTTGGAAGCTCTCCCTCATCCGCCATACTCACGCGTTGGCAAAGATGCGTCAATTGCATGGGTGATTACTTTGGATAACAGAAATAAAAAAGTTTGAAAAAATAAGTACTTTCACTTATTGCATACAAAACGGCAATTTCATAGGTAAAGACCTATTATAAGTAAAACCGTTGTACCCTATTCTTAATAAAAATGATTGCCACTTACGAAAATTTTTATTGACCAAATACGTAAGTCAAGTCATACCCGTACTTGAAATCGAACCCACATTACACGGTCGAACATTGCATAATGAGGTAACAATTGCAATATTTGTGCATTCAAACATTTTAAATACTTATTAGAATTCTAATTTATTTATTATACTAACAACGACGGAAGGTTCCAAACGTGTCTTATCTACTGTACGATGAAGCGAAACTAGAACAAGTTAAATAAAAATACCGCTTATCTAATTAGTTATTCGTGCATTAATGGCAAAACACATTATTTTGAAAATATGTTTGTTTAAATTTCCATCGTAATGGGTTGATAAATTTTTTTCAAATTCAAATTATCTTATTTCATAAAAAAAGAACATATTTAAAATCGTCCTTTATGTAGACTCTAAAGTCGTAGATCTACACACACAATAGCAATAATCTCTGTTTTGTCAAATAGGAAAATAAATTTAATAAAAACAACTTATACAAAATCTCTGATATGCCTGTGCCGATCTACAAACGCCCGTTTCCAAGGAGTTGAGCCTTATGAGAAGAAAGGGGTAAACAAACTCATGGCCACTCTTTTGAACATTACAATGGTATCATTAAATGTACCACATTGTGCCGATGTGTGCCAGTATGTCCGTTATTAAGGACTAAAAGGTAAAAAGACAAAAAGGAGAAAAATAAGATTAGGAAGAAAGATTAAATAAAGAGGAAGTGAAGTGAAACATAAAAAATATAAACTAATAATAATAAAAACCACCCTAGCCTACATCACATTTCAACTTAAGAAATAGCCTGCGCTAAATAAATCCCAAGCATTTTGTCCTCTATGTAATCCACAATTGAGTAATAGGCTTTCTGACATAATTTACGTTTTATTGCTGATTTAAATTTGTTAATAAGTCTTGAATATTATTTGGGATTTTATTATAAAATCGTACACAGTGACCTCGAAACGACTTGTTTATCTTTTGGAGCCTAGAGGCGGGTACTACAAGTTTATTTCTATTTCTGGTATTTATAGAACGTTTCCTTTTATTATGAACATTTATTACATATTCATATATATATTAATTTGCCACTGTCATTATGTTTATTTCTTTAAATTTCTGCCTCAATGAAATACAATTGCCTAAATTATAAAGTGCTCGAATCGCTCTCTTTCTTTCTCTTTCTATTCTTTCAGAATACCGTACGACATTATGCTATGAAAGTAACCGAAGTAGAAACTCCACAAGGTCTAACTCGACATTCTTAATCATCACAATAGTTTTCACTGGCTTGACGTTTGGCCTAGTAAAATGTATGCACTTAGTTTTTTGTTCATTTAAAAGTAAATTGTTGACGTCAAACCAATGAACCACTGATGCTGTTTACGTCTGTGAAATTAGTAAGTGCCTGTTTTAGTATAAATAGTAGTAGTATCATCTGCAAACAACACAAGCTTAAGATTGTCCTTGACAAGGTGAAGTAAGTCGTTAATATATATTAAAAACAGAAAAGGATCGAGAATAGAACCTTGTGGAAAGCCCATTTCTACCACAGAGCCTGAAGACTGCTCACCAATATTATTAACTTTCTGAATCCTATTATCCAGATATGAAGCAAGAAGTTCCAGTGCTTTGTTTTTTATACCATAGTGCTGTAATTTTCTTATCAACGTTTTATGAACAAAAAAATCAAAAGCTCTAGATAAATCGCAAAAAAAATCCTAGAGAATTGCGGGCATCTTCCCAGGCATCAAATATATGTTTTACTAGCTCAACACTGGCATCAGTTGTAGAGCGACTCCTTGTAAAACCAGATTGTCTATTGTGTAATAAATTATTATATTATTATTAAAAACATTTTGTAATTGATCATACATAACTTCATCAAAAATTTTGCTAAATACTAGTAGTACTGAGATAGGTCTAAAGTTAGTTGGGTCCGATGTACTGCCAGATTTGAATAACGGAATGCTTTTACTAGACTTCATAAGATCAGGATATACACCACTATCAACACATTGATTAAATGTAAATGATAATTGATTAGCCACAAGATAATTGCCTTAGTATTTAATACAGAATTTCCCCATAGGTCGGTTGTTTTTTTAAGTTAATAATTTTCCAAGTGGTTTTAATCTTATCATTGCTACTTTTAATCTTTGAACTTATAAAACGAGACTTACCCAATTTACAAAGTTTCCTAAACTGCTTCGAATATTCTTTAACATAATTATGAAACTGTTCACTTTTATTATAATTCCTCTCATCGTATAGCTCCTATATTTTTTTCCTATTTTTGAGTAAGCCAACCTTTTTCCACTAGCGTTTTTGGTGTAAAAATGGTGTTCAATGTTTTTTTTTGTAAAAAACACATTAAAGTAAGTATTAGGGGACTTCTCTTCGCATAGCATACTGAAGTATTAAAAACAGCTTTAAGTTTATCCTTAAAATGTTCACAACGCTTTGCGGTTTTAGGTATCACCACAATTCTTTGATGCTAATTGACCACCAGTGGTCAGAGTGTAAGTGATTGATTATTTTCTTGTCCTTAATTACAATATCTGTACATATATTGCCCAAACATGTGGCAGTGGTCGCAGTGATTCGTGTAGACTCCAAAAACAAGTTCTTCAGATTGTATGATTGAAAGAGTGCCTTGAACTTTCCAATAAGTTAATATTAAAGTCACGTCAGAACTTCATTTTTTTAAGTACTTTTTAAAAGTATCATCGAATTCCATGCGCCTCAAACATAATTATTGTAAAAAGCTATATTCCTCATCTCGTAGTTCTTTACCTGTTTACTTCAATTTTATATGAGGTAAAGAAGAAAAATCGAATTGAGGGCACTTCGAGAACCAGAAGAGAAATATGTTGTACAAATATTATATGCAAATCAGTGAGGAACAGCTTATTACTGCCTGTTGAAGTAGCAGGTTATACTAACGGTGCTCCGAAACCATATCGTTGCTCCGTTACCATATCGACACCTAACTCGATCCTTAGGCCCTCTATCGAAGATCTACACAACTCTTACTACATTTTTGGATTATGCTCTGAGAACATTGATTTTATGTTTGATTTTTAGACACTGCCAAGTAAGAAAGTTGGATCCGTTCTCGTAGGTACATAGTCGGTTCCATAGCTGTCGTTTGTCTATAAATATATTATGATAAAGTTTAAGAGTTTTACAAGGAGGATTTGAAACTATTTTTTTTTTGTATTTATAAGCCACTCCTGAGTGGCGTAGTGACCATAGACGTTAACAAAACTGCTGTAAATGGTAAATGCTATAGAAGTTTGATTGCTTTGTTAATTACCAATGACGTGTCAGTGCACAATGTATTAACTAACAATTAAAAATGATTAGAAAATTAGAGGCTTTATGATATAATATTGAGACATTGAAATAAAATCGTGATTACAAAAGACACACATCCTATTGAAGGCATACATAAGTTTACTATGGAAAACGACTACAAACCCATGTCTGCAATAAAATATTGTGAGGGGCATTTAAATATAAATATCTTGACAGAAAAACCGTCCTCAGATCAAATAGAAAAAAGTTAAGATAAGGTACTCTGTGAACAAGGAAGTGAAGCCAATTAAAACTACGCCTGGCGTAAATACGCAATTACACGCACACACATACAACGAAACTACGACTTGTCAGTCAAAACGTAATCAAAAATGTCAATAATATTTACAAGTAAAAATGCAGAATTGTGAAAGGGTGTAAAAATCAAACTACAAGAGGTGGATAGTAGGATGAACACGCATTTCACACATAAGTAAGCGCAGAAATCAATAATTACAATAAAATTAAATTATGATGTCAGCACCGACCCAGGCACACATGTTTATAAAATCCGCTTCACATCGTTCTTCGCAAAGTTCCATCTTAACTTTTATTTGATCTGAGTAGCCGTCATGATTATTAGTTGCAAATGTACCTGTAGGTCACGTTAAGCTGTGACAGTGTCCTGAGGGAGCTTCTGGGCATCCAAAAGCCACGGACAGGAAGAGAATACGAACACGTTGGATGAAGAGACACATGTGACACGTATGTCACGTACCAAAGTACATTATTTATGTTAGAAGTCAAAGCGAATTACCGGGTGCTAAAGAACGCGAAGTCTCCACACATTTACATCATCATGTCCATGACTAACAAGACCATGACTACCAAGACTGCAGGAATGGCGTAGTGGTTTAAGCGGTCACCTCGCCGCTTTCTGCTGCGCTGCGTGTGTGAATTCGATCCCCACATAGGACAACACTTTGCTATTCTTAGTCTGGTTGCTCTTAGTATTCGTTACATCTATGCTTATTTTTTCCTAATGCGGCAGTTGTTGGTAAAAAAACTACCTGTGAAACAGTCCGCAGCGAGTCCCCGAGCGCTGAGCGCAGACGTTGCACGTCCCGAGCCGCGCGACCGCTGCGGGCCACGTACGCCTGGCGCCGCCGGATCTCGGCCGACAGCTGGTTGCGGAGCTGATTCGCCTGCACAAAACATATCACTTTTTTTAACTTGATATATCTCATTCATAGCCGTCTGATTCAGCATTCGTTATTAGTAGCATTTATTATTTGATGAAAAGACTATGCTAAAGAAATTCTATAAGTAAGAAAATTAATTTAGAAAAGAAAGTTTTTTTTTATTGATTGATATAAAGTCTTACACCAATCAATTAACAAGTTTATTAAAGAAATGAAAAAACAGTGCATTTTATTGAACGATTGCATTGAATGATGATTTGCTTTCGTCGTGTGCAAGGAAACAGGAAACAGGGTGAGTATAATGATTGACGTTATGAGTCAGTCTTCTCTTATTAAAATATATTAACATAAAAAGTTGATGTTTATAAGTATTTTCGTTACTTGCAATGAAATAGCATTGCAAACACATAAAATAATAGTAACTTAGTTATCATGAGTTATTGGAGATTATCATGAGATACTTTGGAACAACAATTAAAAATTGTTCTTTTGAAAGTGATTTTAGACCTGATGCTAGATTAATCTCTTTTGATTTTGTTGTCGATGAGGGTCGTCAGAGTTCTACCGTCAGGTTAAGTAATTTCTTTACATGAATGAGCCCGTAACAGTTGAAAATGGCGAGGTGAGGTAGGTCGGCGTTGCGGTGCGTACCTGTGTCTCGAGGCGCAGTACCTGCTGGCGGTGGGCGGCCTCGCGCGCGTCGAGCAGGCGCTCGGCGTGCGCGGCGGCCTGCCGGTAGCGCTCCGCCTCCTCCCCCGCGCACTCCGCCCCCGCGCGCGACCGCGCCACCGACAGCTCCGCCTCCTGCCACACGCACCGACACGCTCTCTAATCACTACTCTCTCACTAGACCGGAGGTCCACACCGGTTCTACAATATTCTGCCCATCTACAAATACTTGAGAAGCTGTCTTTTTACTCTGTTAAAATTTCGCACAGTGTATTCAATTTGAACAAGACGTGGAGCCCGGTTAAGCATTAAACTACGAACCGGTCGAGATGGAGACTTTCTGTAGGCACCCTCTGCCCCACCCAGGGGACATCAAATATCGGGCACGCCGTCATCGCGGCGGTAAGACCCGTTATGGAGGATTGGCTCGAGAGGCGTCACGGGACCCTCTCATACCGACTGACGCAGGTGATCACTGGGACAGGATGTTTCGGGGATCACCTGTGTCTGATCCGCAAGGAGCCAACGCCTGAGTGCCACCACTGCGATGGCCAGACCGTGGACACGGCTCTCCACACGCTGGCGGAGTGCCCGGCGTGGGTTGAGCAGAGGCGAGACCTCGTGGCGGCCATCGGAGTGGGAGTTCTCTCGCTCGATAGCCTGATTGCGGCTATCGTGCGGAGCGAGAGTGCGTGGAACTCTGCCGTCTCCTTCTGCGAGCAAGTTATGCTCGCGAAGGAGACGGCGGAGCGGGACCGGGAGAGGTTTAGGACTCTCCCGGCCCGCCAGGCTCGGGAACGGGCCAGGTACCAGGTACAGGCGCGCTCGCTTCCAGGGAGCACAGGGAACATGGGGTTCCCACACGGGGGCGGGTCGTCTACTCGTCTGTAGATGACCCGAGGTATGTCGGAGTACCAGGGACTTCCTTTCTAGGGTATACCTGGTTCCCCGGCTATTAGTACCCGGGACGGCGTGCGGTTTTAGTCGGTTCGAGTCCGACATGCCACCGATAGGTGGTATCCGAGGGGATTTCCGCACGAAAAAAAAAAAAAAAAAGGGGACATCAAATATAAAAAATTCGGGATACTTATGGTATTCCAAACTTTCTGTCTTATAGTATCGTTTATAAGTGAAGAAATTATTTATAGATGTGATACAAACTTGAAAATTTTAGAAAAAAAGCTACAAGTGTTTAATGTATACTGTTGACCTGACACGATATAGAAATTATTTTCAATGACAATATTAAATTATACTAATCAATGATTTAAAAGTTAACGAATTATGGTCAACCTTCGACCACAGATCTCTACTAAGTATAGAACTATAGAACTATCTGTGCTTTATTGAAACAAAATCTATAACGCGAATCAATCGATCGATATTTATATCAGCACATAATTTTAATTTATCTAAATATTAAAGAATAATTTTATAGTTTCTAAGGTTGGTTTTTATATCCAAATTTTATGTTATTCTTTTCGTTGGTCTAAGTTTTTTAATAATTGTAATAGTATGTAGTTTCTTTTTAGTAAAATTATTATAGATATAAGCGATTTGGTGTACGCTGTAATGCTTAAATTTCATGAATACAGGATTGAATTGAATCTGATTTTATCATGAGTAGATGACAGAACCAAGGGCAAGATAAAATTGGCATTTTAGGAACTTATAAATGACACTGTTGTATCGTACACGGTTATAAGCGCCGGTAGCCAATTCAAGTAACGTATAGTTAAACCGCCGTAAGCTTGGCCCTCCTGATGGTTTGCGGGACGCGGGGCGGGTGATGCGCTCGGCTATACATGACACGATTTACTAACTCGATATCTTCAGATTTATTTGTTTGAGATTTAATCTACACACGATGTAATAAAAATCGAATTTATTTCCATGTATTATAATGTCAGTGTATTGTAAGTGTTTATGATTAATTGTAAAATTTAATACTGTAAAATAATTTTAATAAAATCACCTTATCTTCATCATGTAAATTATATTCAGATACAATTTAAAAATTAAGTAAAATAATAAATATTCTTTATTAGAACTTTAACAGTAGAACCTCTGTAAGCCGAACTTCAAGTTTTTCAATCTTTTTGTGACGCAGAGTCGGCAGATTATCCATGTTGCAAAATAATACTGTGTGTAGCAGTCTTAAGAAAAATAACACGTACAGCCATGCTTTCACGTCAGTCACTGCCGGCGGACAGCGACGCACTAGCTAATTGGTTGAATGCACCCCCGCCCCGCGTCCCCCAAACCATCAGGAGGGCCAAGCTTACGGCGGTTTAACTATAGGCAATATGCTTGCTCAATGATTCAGTTGTACAAAAATTAATTGTACATTTATAGCGTTACGTTACAACCCCTGATTTATACATCGGCTACCAGGATCATGTGATTAATGGATGAACTAACACCACTCACTTTATCAGCTAGTTCTTTCTCCAAACGCCTGATCTTCATTCTGAGCTCCCTGTTCTCCAGCTCCAGGAAGGTGAGGTCCGTAGTAAAACCTCTGTCCTTAGATGGAATCGTGCTGCACTTGCATTCCCTGATGAGTTCTTTGTAACCGCGAGTTGAGGAATCTTTGTTGGAGTCTGGACCTAGAAAAAAAAGGAAGTTATCGTTAGGCAGTGAAAAAATATTTAGTTATAGGATTTTAGGTATCTCTCACTCTAGCTATGGTTTTATTTATACGCTCTTTGAACAATCTCTTAAATATAGTAAACTTAGAAGGTCGTTTCAAAGTTGATTGCAGTATACCAATAAATACAATGGTCTGCAAATATTTGTCAACATTAGCAGAGCGAATTTACATATATGCTTTCACAAAAGTATATATCGAAATGTTCAGAACTATGCAAATTGATTAAGAAATCGGCGTTGGGTGCTAAAAACACTTATCAAAGTTATTGTCGCGTCACAAAGCCCGTTAAAATTGATTGGACTTTATTGATATGTAACTTTTTCCAATTCCTATTTGATTTGCCGGTGAGCACGCGCAGTGCTAGAGTTGGCCATCATTTAGTGGCCGACATATCTACAACTACTAATATAAGACTCGCTCGTTTTATCGTTTTAATCAAGGGTCTGGTCGGTTAACTGAAAGTGATATATGTTGGTCATACCCGAGTCAATGTCGGAGTAGTAGACGGCCTTGTCGGCGCGGTCGTGGCTCTTGCTGCGCAGGGCGGGGTGCGAGGGCGGGGCGCGGGCGGCGAGGCGGCGCTCGGCCTCCAGCTTGCGCACGGTGTCGTGCAGCACGTCGCACTTGGACCTGAGCTCGGCGCGCTCGCGCTGCAGCTGGTGCAGCTCGCGCTCCAGCTCGCTGTCCGCGCTGCTCTCCTTGCCGTCCCACGCCGTCATGCGCAGCTGAGACTCTAGCGCAGACCTGGGATCAAACTTCATCGCTACATTCTGGCTCACCGCTTTTACAATGCTTTAATCCGTATGAACGTTGTAGACTCTCTTATATTCTCTATCCGAATACAGCAGAACCCACAAGGAGTATATAAGTTCTAGCTATATGTAGGAATATCCGTTCTCAGGTTTCATCGTAAGCGCTAAGCGACTTGACTGATATTGATAAATAAAATCTTCTGCGTTTATGTGTTGAGCATACGGAAAAGAAAATTTAAGATATCAAATTGAATAATTTAAAAAACTAAAAAATGTATACACAATTAAAACAAATGTATTTGTGGTTTGTAAATTGTGTAGTATGTCATGGTTTATTGGCTTTTCTGTATTTATACCTTGTGCAAGGCATAAATTTTAATATGCGATTTTTTTTTAAAATTACCAGATTTACACTGAAATTAATAAACAGTAGTTTGGTTTCCTCACTTTTGAACTTCAAAGTTAGCGAGCTGGTTGGTGAGGCGATGCACCTGGTCCTCCAGTGTGGCATTCAACCTCTTGAATTCGCCCAGGGCTGATTTGGCACTTTCGAACTTTTCCGCTAATACTCGTTTTTCGTTCTCACAGTTGCCTGGAAATTAATGCAGCAGAATTTTAATTCACATGTTACAAACAAAATCTAAAAACTGTCTTTATTGATTTATGATAAAACATACATAATATTTTCATTGATTATGCACTTCAGAAATCGAAATCAAATTAAAAACATAGTAGATAAATACATTATAAACTTAATTAAGAGACTAATACCATTTTGTCCGTCCGTGTGGTGACGGATTAAGAATACAGAGTGTCACCACCCCTATTGAGCGTGTCATAAGAGCCGACTAAGGGAGCAAACTGTGCAAAACAACAGCACTGCAAAAAGAAGGAAAACTGAAAACAAACCCTACACCAACCCGTCCGACCAGCGTAGTATAGTAGGCCAAAACCTTCATTGTATGGAGAGACCTATATCCAGCAGTGGACTGTTAGGGGCTGTTGATAATTGATGAATACCACTTTATAGTTATACATGCAATAACATCAGAAATGTAGTAACATTACTGTACTTTGTGAGATCCTTTTTCCATTTTTCTTAAGATTTTTTTTAAAATAAGTAGGCAAACGATCAGACGTGTCACCTGATGGTAACTGACAACCGCCGCCCATGAACACCTGTAATTCTAGAGCTCTGTAATACGCTCCCGTTTGAAATCAGGATGTCCACAAAACGTTTCACATTTAAAAAGCATGTACATAACTACCTTCTTCATTTGGCGAAATTATCTACTCAACAGTACACCTTCCTATTTACGACTATAAAGTATATGTATTTATGTGTATTATTTATTATTATTATTATTATTACCTATCTCAACAGATTTCTACACCACCCAAAGATTGGCTGGTAGAGAATGCCCTGCGCATTAAGTCCGCCGATGTACACAAGTGCATAAACTTGTAAATAAATAAATAAATAGAGTCACGAGTAGGGTCCCGCCCCCGAAAATCACAGGGAGGGGGGGTTTTAGGCTTAGGTTTTAACACCGGTTTAAAATAAGATTTATTAAATAAAAAAGAAATAACGCAGTACTTACTGACACACTTCTGCAGGTGACGCAGCTTGTCCACGGCGTTGTTTTCATTGATCTTGGCCTCGTTGAGCTGGCGGCTCACCTTGCCCAGCTCGGCGCGCAGCTCGCTCTCGGCCGCCGCCGCCTTCTGCAGCGACGTGGACAGCTGCTCCACCGTACCCTTTAGGGACGTGCATCGGTCTTCCAGTTGAGCGATGGTGCGGGTGTAGCCCTCACAACGTTCTTGAAGTTTCTATTACAGATTTCGAGCATGAATATTGAATACATTTGATTTTTTGTTGTTTAAAACGATGAATTAATTATGTTAAAATCAATTTTTAGTTAAAAACAAAAAGGTAGAACAGCATTATTTTATGTATACGTGTACGGAAGGTATATAAAAGGTGTATGGGACATCGTACCGATGATTCTGAGTCGAAAATCATTGAAATTTTCTGCCGGAAAATTCATCATTTTTTCATGTTTAAAATGATGACAAATGATATGACAATGAATAGACAGAATATTTTTCCGAAAACAATTTAATAAATACCAAATAACTGCAATTTAATTAATCAAACAGCCGAAGCGCGCGGTGCCTCCCCTCCGGCCGCCATTTTGTGTTAGTGTGCATAGACTATTTGCACGGCATTCACATGTAGTTACTACTTTTGTGCGATACCTACGGGAAATGACCTTAACCTTCGACAGCTGATTGCATAAAAAGTTTAATTTTCCGGTAGAACATTTCAATGATTTTCGACTCAGAATGATGGTCTGAATACACTATTTCAGTATTCGTTACGACGTCCCTTACACCGTTTAAAAAAAAAAAAAAAAAAAAAAGGTGGAGCTATTCGCATCATTCAAACTTGCTTGATGGTAGAGCACACTAATTTATTGTAATAAAACGTCGGGACGCAGCCTGCACAGTTATACGTATAGTCGCACAGATATGTACTTAATCAGGTCGCGTGAGTTCATATAAATATCTAAGACTTTCTTTTTATACAAGCTTTAAAGAACGTTGGATCCGGAGATAGGCAGAGCATGTACTAAGAGTAAAAGGACTGCTGATAAATTTATTTAATTTATAAGTGCATATATTTCGTAGATAGGGTTCACCCGGATACCGAAAAAAACAACATGTTCATCACACAATTATTTGTCTTGGGTGGAAATCGAACCCACAACCTTTGGTTTAGCAGTCAGGATCACTAACCACTAGACCTATAAGCCAATCAAATTGATGAAATGCAGCTTTAATACTAAAAGCAATATAACAATTTTATGATGATACTTTGAGCTACAATTTGAGTAACCGTAAATAGATATTTTTCACAAAAAAATCATGAATATATATTCTTTATAAGGCAAATAGTGTACTTAAAACTATTTTCTTATGGCAAAATAGTAAAAATAAAGAAATCGGTACCTTGAAGGCCTGGTCGCGGTCCCTGGCGCCCACGGCGGCGCGCTGCACGTCCCCCTCGAGCTGCGCGCGCCGCACGTCCAGGCGCGCCGCGCGCCCTGCACCACAATCACTTTTACAACACTTACGTCATACTTATATACATATATCCGGCTACTAGCCATATAAAACACTAAGAACACACAGCATCGAACTTCAAACTGAGTTCGTTTGAAGTTCGACACGTGGGTACAGACTCAAATGAACACGTGCACTCAGGAGTCATTAGTACCGCTTTTTGAGTTCCCTTCTCCAGTTTACGGATTTTGGAGTTTTGGAGTCTGGGGAGATGAAATATATTTCCTTCCAACGCTCGTTGGGAAAAGGGACGAAAACGTGTGAGAAAAGAGAAAGCATGGGTGTGCGCTAATTCACTGTCAGAGGCAGGTGAGATGTCAGATTTTACACATCTATAAACTATTCTTTAATTCAAATTACCTACATTTTGTAAAATGATAATTTGACAAAATAAGAAAGATATTACCTTCGGCTGCGGCGAGTGCTTCGCGTAGCTGTCCGACCTCCTGAACTCTTTCTGCTAACTGTACCCGAAGATTTTCTCCTTTGTTCTAGAAATTTCATGAGAATACGAGGGGTGATCAATAAGTAATGATAATCGAGTATTTCTAGAACGCACAAAAACCCAAATTATTTTTTTTCTGCTTGCTTATATATCCACTACTTCAGCTTCAAAAAAATGTATAAATAGGACACCATTACCGGGAGATACATTCATTTGAATACGAACTGTCGAAGAGAAAACATCAAAATGGAGAAAAATGAAATAAGAGCTGTCATCAAGTACCTCTGCCTGCAAAAAATGTCTACCAAAGACATACACAGCGACTTAGAGGAAACATTGGGGGAGTCTGCTCCTCCATATTCCACAGTCGCACGCTGGGCAAAGGAATTTAAGCTGGGCAGAACCTCCACTGAAGATGAACATCGCGAGGGACGCCCTTTCACGTCCCTTACTGGAGAAAACGTCAAAAAAGTGGAAGATATCGTGTTGGCCGATCGAAGGGTGACCGTAAGGCATGTAGCTGAGGTCACAGGGATCTCCTATGGCAGCGTTCAAAAAATCATTGTCAACAAAATGCATATGAAAAAGGTCTCTGCGCGTTGGGTACCGAGAATGTTAACCGACGAGCAAAAAAAGAAACGAGTCGACATTTCGAGGGTGAATCTTCAAAAGTTCCAGGCCGATAAAGAATTTTTTTTTGTCGCGTTTTGTGACCATGGACGAGACCTGGATCCACCACTTTGATCTCGAAACCAAACAACAATCAATGACTTGGAAACGAGCTTCCTCACCAACGCCGAAGAAATTCAAAGTGTCAAGTTCAGCGGGAAAGGTTATGGCGTCTGTTTTCTGGGATGCAGAAGGAATTATTATGGTGGAATATTTGGAAAAGGGGGCCACTATAACAGGCTCTTACTACGCAGGCCAAATAAGAAGATTGCGAGAAGTTATTAAGTCAAAAAGACGCGGTAAACTGCGCGCTGGAGTGCTGTTTCACCAAGACAACGCCCCGGCTCACAAAGCCGCAGTTGCGATGGCTGCCATTGAAGAAACGGGGTTCGAACTGCTCGAACACCCTCCCTATTCGCCAGATCTAGCTCCCAGTGACTTCTACCTCTTTCCTCGGCTCAAAGAACACCTCCGGGGCAACAAATTTGAGGACAATAGTGAAGTGATGGCCGCAGTAGAGGCATTTTGGGAGGGTCAAGACAAAGAATTTTTTTCTAAGGGAATCATGGGCTTAGAAAAAAGGTACACTAAATGTATTAACTTGCAAGGAGACTGTTGAAAAATAAAATACTTTTTTTAATCTAATAGATCTGTTTCATATTGATTATCATTACTTATTGATCACCCCTCGTAACTTGACACAATTTAAACATCAGCTGTGATCCCTATTATGGTAAATTTTGATTCTATGTAGAAGGTTTCTAAAAAACAGTACTGTACAGCTGAAGTACAGAGAAATGACGACCAGTGTATTATTTATTCGTTCATCTAGCCATTTTCGGAATTAATTCACTGCTAACATCTCACTTCCTAAACAAGAAATAGGCAAAATCTTTTTTATACTCTACCGGGGCTGTATCGGTTTTCTACATACATACATACATACATAAATTACTACAATCGATCTTAAAACGAGCAAACACAATAATCGATTATGTAGATATTTCCGAGGCAGGCTAGCTGCTATAAAGTGAAGTTGCAAGGTAGAACAATAAAGATACCTCATGTTGTACTTTCTCTTCACTGATAGAACTCAGCGCTGCTTCTAAACTAGTTATTTTGTCTCTCAGATTGCTAATCTCCACAGTCTTGGTTTGGACCGAGTCGTTCTGAAAACAGTAATTTATCAAATAAGTATAATATATAAATACATACTGTCGTTACCTACTTACTTTTTGTACACGACACTATACCTTACTTTCAATATAAATATTAACTTTGTACTTGGTTGTCAGTATATTATTTACTTGTTATTATTATTATCAGGTTTTGTCAAAGAAAATGTGACAACATGGTATGGTAGGGAGGCAAAATTATGAAAGATAAACGGTTTTACTCGGTATTGCGGAAAAAGTTCATCTGATGGGTCCGCAGACGAGTATGTCTGCGGACCCATCGGATGAACTTTTTCTTAAAGGTGTAGTAAAGATATAATGGGACAAAGGGTATAGCGACTCTACTAGTTTAGTCGGGTTTAGTTTAAATTGTCAAATTTTATAACATATTTATATTTTAGTCAGTTCTCAAACGACTATTGTATTTATTAATTTATTTTCTACTCCCTGCAAATACATTGCATAAGACGGACTTAATGCCATAGGCATTTTGTTCAGTCAACCTTTGGGTGATGCAGAGATGTGTGTGTGGCAGGTGTATAATTAGAGCCGATGAGATAAATTATTTTAAAATGGTGTCAGTTGCAAGATGGATACATATACTACATAGATATACTCGGTATACATACTCGTATGTATATATATAATATATATGTACTATATAATACTATAAATATAAGAAATATACGCATATACATCCTTTCTTTGTGCACTGTTTCCTACCAAAGCTTTAAGTTGTGCTTCCTTCTGCGAACAAGCGGACTGCAGCCTGGCCTTCTCCTCTTGAACAGATTTCAAATTACTGCTCATCGACTGCAGCTTGTTGTCGCCCTTGCCTTGTTGCTCATTCGCCTCCTTGAGTTGTTTCTTCATTAAGTTCACTTGAGATTTGTAATCATCCTGTACATGAATTAGTAATATTTAATAACAGCTCTTGACTACGCTAGACTTTATCAATGAGTTCGGCTATGCCTGTGTACACTTATAGTTCTTTTTTGATAATAAAGTATCCTATTTACTTAGTCGTATCTATACACCTGGGCCTCAATTCTGTTATTATAATATTGTAACTATGAAATGTCATTGGATTAGTTTTGCACTTTTCGTATTCTACTATGTAAGACCAATGTCTTATCACTCAACTGCCACTGATACAAATGTCATCGATGTCTTTGTAATAGTTTGGTAAACGGTACATTTCAAATTAGTAAGGAAATTAATATTTTATTTGGTAGAATATCGATATTTTGTCCGATGAAAATGGCATATCAATAGCGTGTCAATGGAATGCCAGTAGCTTGTACGTTAACATAGAAGCCCTGGTAAAATGCATCCTTCATAATAACGGTTAAATTATAACATTTCAAATAAACTTATTTTCGCGTTTAAAATAATCAGTTAAGATATCATACAGAGATACAAAACAGTAAGTACACATAAGGTGCGTGTAGGGTAATGTTCACTACTGAAGATGAATTTTATTGTTATGTTTTACTGCGATCAAGGCGTATATCTATACACTTGTGCTTGTACTTTCGGATAGGTAAGCAGAGGTGTAATAAACACTTTTAATTTGGTTCAAATCACACAATAGACAGCAAGCCTTGCGTGTATCTAATGTAAATATAAAACTGAAGTGTTTGATGCATACCTTCTCCCTTTCAATTTGACAAACGTCATGCATCAAGTTGCGCATGCCCTTCTTAATGATCTCTGGGTCAACTTCTATGATTTCGTTACGGTCCTCGGAGTGGTCGCGACCTGACAAGTAAATAAATTATTTATTACAAATAAATGAAACAATTAAATAATATTTAATGAGTCTTGTAAGATTTCTTGCGAGAGGTAATAGGCACCGGCAAAATATTAAATTAAGTATCTAGTGGAACTGGTATTAAAGCTCGGTTGATACACAAGTTTTTCTTAAATAATTATTTAATACCAGTTCCACTTTAACAATTTTATTGTGAAACGTAACGATGAAATAACAAAAAAGAAACCTAAGAAAATATAACAATACTTTACAAATGGTATACATTTAGAACACTTAGCAGTAATAGGTACTTTCTATCAGGTGACCCGTTTGCCCCTATATTATGGAAAAAAAAAGTTAGAACAAGAGAAGAAGGATCAGGGTCGCAGAGAATCAATTGATTAATATATTTTATTTATTATTTGGCTTTCCTAAACTTAACATTTAAGTGGACATTTCATGTAATGTCCACTTGCTTTACTATAATCTATGGGAGTGATTTCGTTAAAAGGGACGGAAGTGTGTAACAGGAAATCGGGGAAGCGCGCGCGCATTCCTTAGTTAAATATGATTAGAGCTACGCGAGTGGTAGATATGATAGTCTATGGGTGGATACGATACGGGTACGTTTACCTCTGTGCGGGCTGTAGCGGCGCGCGGGGCTGGCGAGGCGGCGGCGCGCGGCGGCGTGCACGGAGCCGTCGGGCTGCACGCCGCACACGCGCCGCAGGGCGTGCGCCACCGACGACAGCTTGGCCTCGCTCTCGCGCTTCGCCGCCTCGCACTGCGACAGCGACGCTTCCAGCGCTCGGCAGCGCCCTTCGCTGCCGCCGAGACGGGCCTGCACATTATCCACTGTGTACTGACACAGGCCGCACTAATTCCACTATATTTTATGAACCTCTGATATGTTGCGCTGGAGCATTACGAAATAGGATAAAACATTATCAGTACCTAAGATTTCATAACACACCTACAATAAGATTCATAAATTAGTACGATCACTGCCAATAAAAATTATCCGTTGAGATCGTCTAGTCCAAGTTTCTTCCTTTATATCAAGAAATGATGGCATCCGTTTGACCGGTGTAATTCAATTGAATAGTCATTATTGAAAAATACTCAACATAACTAGATAAAACAACAATGAAAGAAAATTTTCAACGAAGATTAAAGGCATTTGAATTTCAATAGCATGGCAATTCAACATCTTTAATGAAGTTGAAGCTAGCCGACGGAGCTAGCCGACGGACATAGCCTGCGTATATGGCACGCCCCTCAAATTGAGTTTTTTTTTTTAATAAACTAAGAGAGCAAACAGTCATTTTCCTGCATCAAATTACTATACAATGAACCAGGGCAAACAATCATATTAAATGAATAAACGCTGTTTATTAGCGAAAACTCGAGTTTTTCGATGGTAAATTTGTCCTAACTTTTTTCACAAAAATAGGATAGCTTTCTAATTTTGTATAGTTAATGCCTAAGTATCATACAATAATACCAAATTACTTTTACGTTGGCAGAAAAGTTATAATTTTTAGTATTAAATGAATTTGAGGGGCGTGCCATATACTACGCAGTCTATCCGTCGGCTAGCTTCAGCTTCATACATCTTTAATCTAAAATCAAGTAAGTTTTAAATAAGAAAATCTGATTCTCAACTTCATTTCTGTTAAGATTATTTCACAGCGCTTAAATAATGCCAGTAATACTGACCTCTCCTGTTAATTTGTTAATTTGTTAAAATGCCATTTAACGCAATTTTTTCGATAAATGGATTTGCTGTGTTATGATTTATAAATTGTTTACAATATAGTCTGTGATTGTAAATAAATATTGCATACTTTGAGCTCTTGTATTTGTTGAGTAGCGTCCGCAAGGCATACTTCCAAATTATGTTTTAGCTCTTCCAGACGACGTTCCTTTGATCTACAGTCTTCTAAACGAAGTACTAATTCCTGTAAACAATATGCATAAAAAATACAAATATCGCTGTGACTTTACTCATTTAAATTCATGTAAATTTATTAAAAGAAAACAGTGCATTTCGGAATGAAAAAGAGAATAAAACCTCCCTATCTTTTTCTCTATGCCTGGAAACAACTAGTGCGTATTTATGATGGTCTAAAAAACGGCAACGCATAAAATACGGACGAAAATACATTATTTCTGTATTTTACATTTCTGTTCCAGAAGGATATCTTTTAAAAACCGATGTAGACGTCGATGGAATTCACATGTTTATAGATGTAATAATGTTTTAATTTTAGTAATAAATGTGGTGGTGGTGCGACCTGGTCCCTGGCGCGGCAGGCGTCCTCCAGGTCGGCGGCGCGCTGGCGCGTGGCGGCCAGGTCGGCGCGCGCCTGCGCCAGCAGCGCCTCCAGCTCCGCGCCGTGGCGCCGCGCCGCCCCCGCCTCGCCCGCCGCGCGCTCGCGCTCCTCGCTCTCGTTTTGTAACCTGCAACGATAACGACCAACTGTGCACATACTGAATAGTTAAAAATGAACTACATTAAAAAAAAAACAGTGGCACTCCAAAGCATGGCACTCAGAAGTGAAAACTTGAAAATAAAAAAATATTGTATATTTCGATTCGAGTTTCGACATGAATATATATGTATGTTATACGTATATACACCATATATGTTTATATTACATATATATTGTTATATTATCAATATAATCAGTGTAGTTCAACCCAAACTCAACTGTTGTGTAAACGGGGCCAATGTATTATGTAGATACTTATATACTGTTAAGTAGTCATTGCTTATGTTTTACATCCGTCTCGATAGATGGCGTTGTTCCATAAACTTAGATCGCAATATTAAGATTCTTCGAGACGATATAACATTGTGTAACTTTTCTATTAAATTTATCTCGTCCTGAGCAAGTGTGTTTTACTTCAAATACCTTGACGGCCCTTGGGACTTTTTGGAAGATTGTACATGGTCCTATCGGAGCCGGATTTGACAAAAAGGTTGACATCACAGCTGTTACCCATAGCCACCGATTAGAATTGGGTGCCCTCTAGTGGAGTAAGTGGTAACTGGTGAACGGTGGAGATACAGAAAACAGTTCGTGCTTAAGCGGAAGCGGATAGTTGATCGAGCAGTGTTTGGAAAAAAAAGTGAAGTATATGCAGTGACAAACCGTGAGTACATTTGACCTATTAAAAATAATCAACTTGTGACTTATAAAATAGTGAGTTTAGAGACATTGTTAAATGTAAAGTTTAAAAATAAATACAAAGTGATTAATGCATGAAGAAATAGACTTATAAAACGTTAAGTGTTGCATGGACTTAGAATAATTTCGCAAAAAGTGTACAGACGGGGAACCTATGCCGGTTTTTATACCGAATTTCGGAACTTCAAACACTTAGAAAATTTTACATCAAAAGTTCATCGACTTAGAATATTCGGAGTGATATTTAGAACTTAATACAAATTAAGGTTAATTTGTTATTGGCACGAGTCGTGTAAAGATAACTTAGTTCACTACACAAGAATATCACCTTTTAATTAATAGCTAAAATGGATGCTTACATTAACATTCAAGAGGATATTAAATTAAAAATACAGAAAGCAAGAACAAATTTTAAAAAGTCTCCCAAGGAAAGAATCACGCAGTCTTATTTGGAAACTCGTATAGAAACATTGAACGAATATTGGGCTTCGTATCGTGCTACTCATAAACAAATCGTTACCGACTTTAGTAAAGAACAGCTAATGAAAACGGATTATTACAAGACGGATGCGTATGACTTTACGGAAGAACTTTATACAGATTATAAGGCGGAATTAAAAGGATTTCTACTTAAATTTAATAGTTCTAAGCTTGTCTCAACTTCTGATACTAAAGTTAATGTGTCACACGCCGACCAATCCTTTAGTGTTAAATTACCCAAGATTTCTATTCCGAGTTTTAGTGGTCAGTATACAGAATGGATCAGTTTTCGTGATTTATTTGTATCGTTGATCCACAACAATAAAGGATTGGACGACGTTCAACGCCTGCACTATCTTAAAGGATATTTAACAGGTGAAGCTGAACAACTTTTACGTCATATTCCTATCACGGCTGCTAATTATAAAGAATGTTGGGATCAATTAGAGAACAGATATAATAATAAAAAACATTTGGCTAACTGTATTTTGAAACGTTTTATGAATCAAAAGAGCATATTGTCGGAGTCAGCTGGTGCAATAAAGGCGTTATTAGATACCACTGTCGAATGTTTAAACGCTCTTAAAAATTTAAATATTGATATTTCTTCATGGGATATAATTGTAATCTACATTGTTAGTTTGAAGCTTGATACAAAGTCTAGAAAATTGTGGGAAATCCAAGTTTGTAAAATTAATGCTGATTTACCAAGGATTAGCGATTTTAAGGATTTTTTAGAGCAACGGTTCAGGTCACTAGAATTTTTAGATAATAAAATTAATAGGTCAAGTAATAATACTAGTTCTCGAATTACAAAAGTGTTACATGTAACCTCATCCACACCTTGCAATTTTTGTTCTGAGGCACATAAATTAATAAATTGCAAGAAATTTGCTAAAGAAGATGTAGATGCACGTCGTAGTTTTGTCCAAACCAATAAGTTGTGTTTCAATTGTCTCGGTCCAAACCACTCAGTTTTTTCATGTCGTCATTCAACCAATTGTCGTGTTTGCAGAAAAAGGCATCATTCTTTACTTCATCCAAAAAGCATCACTAGAAGTGGTAACACTTCTGGTGGCCATAGGGAAGATGGTACGGATCACTCTTCGACTCCACCATCAAACTCACAGGGCGAAGTATCAAATATTGTGACCTGTTTCTCTAATTTAAACAGCCAAGTATTATTGGCCACTGCCTTGATAAAGGTAGAGTCGAGAGCAGGCACTTTCGTGTTGAGATCTCTCTTAGACCAAGGTTCACAGGCGTCTTTTATAACCGAGTCAGCGGTGCAGATGCTAGGTCTTAAGCGGGTTCCAAATAAAAGTTTTATATCAGGTCTTGGCAGTGATCAGAATGCAATATTGCAGTCTAAAGGATTTGTTACCCTACAGGTACAGTCACGCTACGATCCTAACTTTATAGTTAACGTAAAGGCACACATTTTAAGTAAGTTAACCTCCCTCCTTCCGGAAAGAAAGGTTACATTTAAAACGTGGTCGTCACAAATTTCAGAATTGAAATTGGCCGATCCCATGTTTGGGACACCAAATAGAATCGATGTTCTTTTAGGGGCAGAAGTATATGGTCAAATTTTATTGGAAGGTGTAATCAAGGGTCTGCCGGGTTATCCCATAGCACAAAACACCAAGCTCGGTTGGATCCTCTCTGGCTGTATACACTCTCCACAAACCCATGAACCACGATCTAAGAATCAAGATAAAATCCTAAGCATGCATACTCAATTATCTATTGATAGTCTATTGAAAAAGTTTTGGGAGCTAGAGGAGACATCTTCTGATAACAATAAATATTTATCTGAAGAAGAGCAAGCCTGCGAAGAGTTCTTTACAAAAACCTTTAAAAGAGATTCGTCGGGTCGTTATGTGGTAAAGTTGCCATTTAAATCAAATGATCCAGAATGTCAGTATGGTAATTCCTTTGAGGTTGCTCGTAAACGATTTTTATATTTGGAGAAAAGGTTGCTTAACAACCCGGACCTAAAAATTAAATACTCGGAAGTCATTTCTGAATATTTGTCGCTTGGACACATGGAGGTGGTTCCGGAAGCAGAGATAAGCAAATCCAATGCCGTTTATTTACCACACCACGCGGTAATCCGTAATGATAAAACCACCACAAAGGTAAGGGTTGTCTTCGACGCGTCGTGCCAACTAGATAATGGAACTTCATTGAATAAGGATATGCTGGTTGGCCCCACTCTCCAACCTGATTTGAGGCATATTATTATGTACTGGCGCTGTTATCCTGTATGTCTTGTTGCCGACATTGTAAAGATGTACAGGCAAGTGAAAGTGTCTGAGGAAGATGTTGATTTTCAACGCCTCTTATGGCGTAGAGATTCAAATGCAGAACTTCAACATCTTAGGTTATTGCGGGTCACATTCGGTACATCCTCAGCGCCTTACTTGGCTGTACGAGTTTTGCAACAGCTAGCGTGCGATGAAGGCGATAAGTACCCCTTAGCAGCGAATAGAGTTTTAAAGGAGTTTTATATGGATGATCTGATGTCAGGTTGCGAAAGCGTCGAGGAAGGCCTTCAGATTTACCGTCAAATGAGCGAACTTCTTAGTCTCGGAGGATTTGAGCTTCAAAAATGGACCTGTAGTGACAAAAAATTGCTGCAACAAATACAGGAAGGAGAAACTCCAACAAAAGAATACCTAGAAATGAAACAGGATACAATTATCAAAATATTAGGATTAACATGGAATAAATCTAGTGACGAGTTTCAATACACTGTAAACCTTCCTGAACTTCAAACAACTGTGACTAAACGTAGAGTGATATCGGATATTGCAAGATTGTTCGATCCGCTTGGTTGGATTGCACCTGTTATAACAACTGCTAAGGTCTTTATCCAGAGAATATGGCTTGCTGGTATAGGATGGGATGATGAGATACCCTCGGATATTCTTCAAGATTGGCTCTTATACCGCAAGGATCTTGTTCGCCTCGCCAATTATCGTCTTCCAAGGTGGATAAGGACTAGTAGAAACGATCTTCACACGGAGCTGCAGGGGTTTTCGGATGCCTCTAACTCAGCTTACGCTGCCATTGTCTATATTAGATCTGTAGACTGTAACGGTGATATTCATATTAGCTTGGTGGCTTCTAAATCTAGGATCGCCCCTGTGAAGCAAATATCCATACCTCGTTTGGAGCTATGTGGTGCTGTTCTATTAGCCAAGTTACTACAAGAAATTTCCGCAGTGTTAAGTATTCCAAAGGCCAACGTCCATGCTTGGACTGATTCTAATGTCGTTCTTGCTTGGTTGAGTAGTCATCCGAGTAAATGGAAGACTTTCGTGGCTAATAGAGTAGCTGAAATACTAACAATTACGGACACTTACCAGTGGTCGCATGTCAGATCTGAAGAGAATCCCGCAGATTGCGCATCTCGCGGTTTAGCTCCTAGGGACATATCTGAAATTGAATTATGGAGAAACGGCCTTAAGTGGTTACATGAAAATACAGTCCATTACCCGAAGGGAATAGTGAAAAGAACAGATTTAGAAAAGAAAAAGGATAAAGTTACTTGTCATTTAGCTACGGAAGGTATAGATATTATTACTAGATTTTCAAGTTTAAAAAAGCTTATTAGAGTTATTTCTTATTGTAGAAGATTTTTTAGTAGAAATAAATTAAAAACCACGCGTTGGCTAACATTTGACGAAATAAATAAATCGTTACTTACCTGTATACGGTTGTGTCAAGGTGAAGGCTTTCTAGAAGAAATCGAGAGTTTAAAAAAGATAGGTAAAATAAATAAAAATAGTAGACTTACCTAGCTTAATCCATTCCTTAATGGAGATGGAATCCTCAAGGTTGGTGGGCGGCTGCAAAAGGCTAATGTCGTAGAAGCTGTTAAACACTCAATATTGATACCATATAAATCGCATCTGACAAATCTAATTATAGCAGATGCTCATGAGCGTACCATACATGGTGGTCCTCAATTAATGCTAAATTATTTAAGAACTCAGTATTGGATTGTGAATGCCCGAAATCTAGTGAGACAATACGTTCATAAATGCGTTGTTTGTGTTCGTCATTCTGCTCAAACAAACCAACAGATGATGGGCCAATTGCCACCAGCTCGTGTAACTGCTTGCCGCCCCTTCCATCAAAGCGGTGTTGATTACGCAGGTCCTATCGCTATTAGACCTACAAAGGGACGTGGTTATCGCTCCACAAAAGGTTATGTTTGTTTATTCGTCTGCATGGCCACTCGTGCAATACACCTCGAAGTTGTCAGTGATCTTACTTCAGAGGCATTTTATGCCGCATTTAAGCGATTTGTTGCACGCAGAGGACATTGTGCAGACCTGTGGAGTGATAATGGCACCAACTTTGTAGGAGCAAATAGAGAATTGAAAAACGCATTTCATCTGGAAGGGTCCGTAGTAGCAAAGGACATAGGGGATTGCCTGGCAACTAATGGAACCAACTGGCACTTCATTCCACCCCGCTCTCCGAATTTCGGAGGGATCTGGGAGGCTGGAGTGAAGTCCACAAAACATCACCTGAGACGAATAATAGGAACTACCCTTCTATGTCAAATAGAAGCGTGTTTGAACTCACGTCCGATTACACAAATTAGTTCCTGCCCGGAAGATCCATATCCACTTACGCCTGGACATTTCCTTGTGGGTGAACCCCTAGTCCTGGTACCGGACACCAATTATGAAAAGTCTAACATGAGCACTCTTAAACGATGGCATTTTACTCAACGGCTTCTTCAGGATTTTTGGCGCAGATGGTCGCACGAATACCTAACTCAATTGCAACATCGTTATAAGTGGTCACGTATTACACCTGAGCCAAAGGTAGGGGACGTAGTACTGATAAAAGAGGATGATCTGCCACCGGCAAGATGGTTGTATGGTATAATAACAGACAAACATATTGGTGCGGACAATCTTACACGTGTCGTTTCATTAAAATGTAAAGATTCTGTTATCAAACGACCTGTTTCCAAGCTTATTATACTACCTATTACAACATAGATTTATCCCATATGTATTTATTGAGTTGATGTAAAGTTAGAAAGTAAGATTGTTTAATTTTTGTTACCTTAGATCATGTAGGATCATTTTTGTTATGTCATAGTTAGTAATAAATTTTGTTTCTAAGAATTATCGATGGACACTTGTCCATGGTGGGCGGAATGTTAAGTAGTCATTGCTTATGTTTTACATCCGTCTCGATAGATGGCGTTGTTCCATAAACTTAGATCGCAATATTAAGATTCTTCGAGACGATATAACATTGTGTAACTTTTCTATTAAATTTATCTCGTCCTGAGCAAGTGTGTTTTACTTCAAATACCTTGACGGCCCTTGGGACTTTTTGGAAGATTATACATATACAGAGATGTCAGTGACGATAATAATGTCCGAAGTTAATAATTTTTTCCCATCTCAAAAAATTCATTATTTTATTTATTGTTTAAAAAAGCCATACGCGCCTAAAAAAGTTTCCACTTCAAAAATCCAAACCTAGACTGCAACTCCTTGATATCATGTTGAGCCTGTTCGAGAGCCGCCCGCTCTCTCTTCAACTGCCCCTCGGCAGCTTTGAGAACACGAGTTACGTGCTCCCCACCAGTTTCACTCTCCTTCAGTAACATTTGGACGCGCGATAATTCAAGATCTAGAGATGTGCGGTTTTCTTCTAGTCCTAGAAAAAAGAACATTGATTGTTGAGTTTGTAAATCAAACATAAATTTCAAGTTTTAGATACCTATAACAAATTCAACTGCTAAAACGAAAATCGAAATGACTCAATTACACCTAACTTTTTATTGTGGATGGCTCAAAAGTGCAGCGAAAATAGTATTCTTAAATGAGATTTCGTGAAGTCACTAGTTACCTTTTAAATTAATCTATTCCATTACAATGTACAATCTATGTATTGATAAATATATGCGTAATATTTACGTTTAGCAATTTCAGCCAACACGAAAAACCTACACTATACTGGTTATGGACAAAAGTATTAAAAATCGTAGGTGACCATTCCCGTTCCGTTAAAAAGTGGTATTTAAAGTTAAATAAAAACTGTTGAGAATGTCGGTGAAAAAAAACAAATTGTGTTCATCGAGATCAACTAGCGTCCACGATAGTTACGTACCAGCAATCTTATGATAAGCTTCGTCCCTGGCCCTGGCAGCTTCCCTCCTCTCCTGTTCGACTCTCTTGACGTGATCACGTAGCTCGCGACAGCTGCTATTGTACTTGTCACGTTCCGCCGTACAGTTGGTCAGCTGCCGACGAACGTCAGTCAGTTCCTTGCGTAGACTGTCTGATTCGTTCTCCACTAAGGGCAGAAACAAGTGATATTTTTTGTACAATAGTTTTTATCACAAAACACAGTAAGAAATTCTATACTATTAACATTGCTAACTGCTGACTTCTACACATTGGAATTGATGAAATCTCTTTTAATTAAATAGGTTACTATAATTACGTCCATTTCAATGAAATAAGTATATTTTTACCATAAAACTAATTCTTTATAGAAAAAAAGTTTAATCTTTTTGTACAGAATTAAATTTATTTTTAAATAAACTATAATAAATAAATAAATAATACGGGAGGGAATAAATAGGACGGGAGGCAACAAATTCTTCAAAGGCATTTTGTACTGCCTCTCGGGAATTGAATTTTTTACCCACTAAAAAGTTGTCTAAATTTTGGAAAAAGTAATAGTCGGTAGGTCTGGTGAGTATGGCGGATGAGGGAAAGCTTCTAACCCCAGCTCTTGCAGCTTGGAGACTGTCTGTTGCGCAGTATGGGGTCGCGCGTTGTCGTGAAGGAGCAGTGGGGACGACCGATTGACCAAAGCTGGTTGCAGATGTGACCACCAGACCTTGCACCTACCGACTATTACTCTTTCCAAAATTTAGACAACTTTTTAGTGGGTACAAAATTCAATTCCCGAGAGGCAGTACAAAATGCCTTTGAAGAGTTTGTTGCCTCCCGTCCAGCAGATTTTTACAAGAAAGGCATCAATAAACTGCTAATGCGTTGGCATAGATGCGTCGATTGCATGGGTCATTACTTCGAATAACAGAAATAAAAAAGTTGAAAAAATAAGTACTTTCACTTATTGCATACAAAACGACAATTTCATAGGTAAAGACCTATTATTACTTACATTCTTTAAGTTTCCTGATGGTCTCTTGTAGTTGGGCATACGTATTGTCATACTTGTCTTCGGCGAGGGACAGAGCAGCGCGGACTTCGGTACATTCCTTTACAACAGACTCCTTTTCTAAATGCAGTTCTTTAATGCGGTTTTCAAAGCGTGAGCATTCGTCTTCAGCATTTGCCCTGTAGAATTTTAAGTCATTCTTTATAAATAGGAGACAAAACCCAAATGATAATTTCGATTTATTTCGAGAAGCAGCAAAATTTTGTACAAAAGGAACAACACTAGCAGTAGCGATTCGTTGTCTAGGGTATAAGAGAGTTATTAGCCAAGCACACTTGGCTCGAAGGACCATTATGTTGAGCTACAAAGAGATATACTAGTCAGAAAACTGATTAAAAGGAATACCTTTACTCTTTTGTAATTACCACTAAAAATTATCTATCAAAATGTTTTGGTATACATACTACTGTCACGTATAGTTGTTACTTACTTGGCCTCTTCTAACTTAGTCTTGAGCGCGGCGATCTCGTCCTTGAGCTGGTTGAGATATGTTCTGTCTTGTTCTGCGCGAGCGTGACCTTCCCTGCGACACCTTTCCAATTTGTTCTGCTCACAATCCAATGCACGCTTGGCTTCTTCTAAGCGTTCTAGAAGAGCTTGCTGCTCTTGGTGAGCTAAGAGTAATAACATGGTACATTGCATGAACCAAGTACGCAATGGCTTGTTTTAGTATGCTCAAAAGAAGAACAAGTTCACAGTTGGTGCAACTGAGTGTGGAGTAGTCTCATCATAGTTTTGGTTTTTAACTTAAAAATGTTTTTGGCGCTTTTGAAACTTGGATTGTGTGTAGTTTACCTGTACAATTTTTTTTACATAACAACACTCGGATCAAATTTTATATTTAGAGGACAGGAAACTAACAAGCGAACTATGTAGAGAGAGTAAAGTAAAGAGTCCAGACCCATGAGCAGCGCCTGTTGCTTATCGTTTTCGGCGCGCAGCAAGGCCTCGTCGTGCTGCAGGATGAGCTGGTCGCGCGCCACCAGTAGTTTCTTCTCTCTCTCTCGTGCGGCCGCCTCACTGCATTCCTTTTCGCTCGTCAGCGACGCCACTGTCTGGCTTAGCTTGTGTTCTAAAGCTTGTCGGAGTTGTTCCTGACAATAGGAAGAATGATTATTGTACAAAATATCGCATTTCTTCTTTTTCTCTGCTAGATAACTCAGTATTTTTATATGGCATAGGGGCAAATGAGCAGATGGGTAACTACCACGGTAAGTGACTACCAACGCCCATTAACATTTCATGTCACAAGTGCGTTGCCAAGGAGGCAAGTAAGTATCCCCATCCCTCAATTAGGGCGAGGGAAGGTTTGGGCTCCGGTAATGAGTAAGGAAAGAATTGCTTAATACCGATTTTATGTCAGGCCGTGCTATTACTACGGTCGATCCGGTCCAAGGCTCTCCACGGCTTCAAATAAAATACCAAATGACACAATGCATTTTTAAATAAGGGAGCCAACTACGCAGAACAACAGCACTGCAAAGAGAAGGAAAACCTGTCTGGCCAGTGTGGCATAGTAGGCCAAAACCTCCTTTATAAGGAGAGGGTTATATCCAGCAGTGGACTACTAAAAGCTGTTGATAATTTTTCAATAAGTACCGAAATCTCTTACAATTATAATTAAAAAGTTGAGTCTCACCTTCTCTTCTTTCAGTTTAGTAATATTCTGTGCAGTGGTTCGGTTAATGTTCGTTATAATTTGTTGATACTCGGCCTCCTTCTTCCCAGATTGTTGTTGCATGGAATTGCGTGTGTCACGTAGCTTTTTCTCACTGTTTTCCAGGTCTTTCGACAAACGTGTAACTTGTCCTGAATGAGTAAAAGCAAAATACACAAAACTATGGTGGTAGTCTGTTACTAAAAATATATAAATACGTGAAGCCATTACGAGGATGATCAAGAGATATTTTCTATAGTAACTCTCAGTGCCAAAAGAGGTCGTAGATTACAAGACGAGCATGGACCATTTCAAGTAAAAACAATCAGATCGGCCGCTTAACACACTTACAAATATAAGAGAAACCTTTGAAGATTTCTCGGATAAACAAGTTTTCTAACTGTATATGAATCATGAAGTAAAACCAGTGTTCGTACTTTATAAGTATTTACTTCAGAGCTTTGCGAATGGGGTCCAAATTCAGAATTGGGCAAATGGGGTCCAAATGCAGAGCTGGGCAAATGGGGGTCCAAATTCAGAGCTGGGCAAATGGGGTCTAAATTCAGAGCTGGGAAAATGGGGTCCAAATTCAGAGCTGTGCAAATGGAGTTCAAATGCAGATCTGGGCAAATGGGGTCCAAATTCAGAGGTGGACAAATGGGGTCCAAATTCAGAGCTAGGCAAATGGGATCCAAATTTGAATCTCCGCATTAACAACTCAAGATGGTTATACTATCACTGATTAATTTTGAAACGTATACGATTCTATACACTGTACATTATAATTATATACTGTTATATTTTATTTGGTATTCGTTCGTTTAAAAGATAAAAGCAGAAGAAAAGATGGATTAGAAAGTAAAATAGCAAACTATTAGATAATAGTTAATGAATGTCCAGTATAAGAGAAAGCCGAACCAAAAACTCGGCTATTTTTTTTGTCAAACCTTTGAGATTCTCTTGTTGCACCAAGGTGTCCTGCAGCTCGTGCTCCAGCTTGTTGCGCTTGTTGTCGGCGTCCTCCAGCATGTTGGCGGTGTCGAACAGCACCGCCTCCAGCGCGTCCTTCTCCGAGCGCACTCCGGCCAGCTGCTCTTGTAAGTGCTGCTTGTCTTTTTCTAGACTGTCCATTATGATCTGTACACACAAGGCACAGAACATTTGTGTAATGGAAAACTAAATGAGGCACATACATCCTGCCTTACGAGTTGACACTGCTCCCATCCGATGAAGTACATAAATTATTTTACTGATTTTATAAGGAATTTCATCTTTAACAATATCTAATAGTCATTGCCACGAAATGCACAAACATTTCAACCAAAAATTTGGTTGAGGTAGATAAAATCTATTTCTAAATAAATAATTTGTAGCGACTCCTACATACAAAGTAACGGAAACGTACTACGGCGCCATCTAACGAAAGACACACCATATATACAACTTCCCAACATCAACCGTTGGGCCACGGCCCGCCAGGCATGATCACCTCGCCTGGTCGAAGGATCCTCCCTTTGGGTTGGAGGGACATGACACCAGTTTATTTAGTTTATAGTTTCAAGTATTCTATATCTTTAGGTAAAATTAAAAGTCATCGGAATTTTTTTATTTAACTTTAGTTAAACCCACACATTTATAATTAATGTATGGGTATGAAAATTATTTTAATGTAATTTCCAAATCATTATTATTGTTTATATAATAAACAGAAAATGATGACTTTTTAAGTCGTAATGTTCCTTTTATTCGTTACATATATCAAAAGTAAATTGTGATAATAAGAACAGAATCCAACCTGCTTCTCTTCCCCATCTTTAACGTGATCTTCGAGACTTCTGTTGATCCTCCCAATGGTCTCATTGGCCTGTTCTAACCGCTGTTGCAGGCGAATGATTTCTTCATTCAAAGTATCCTTCTTGCGAACCATCGCTGTTAGTTGAGAGCTTAACTCACCTCGCTCTCTATGAAAAACAAAGGGAACCAAGTGACAACATACGACATTTTGCAAATATTGCAAATATATGTAGGTATTACATACCTTATTAAATAGTAATAATAATAATAATCTTTATTGTAACAACAAGTGGATTACAAACTTACTGCGTCACCAAATATGGTCAAAATGTCAGGCAAGTCTTAGGTGGATAATGGTGCTAACTCTGTTGTTCAAAAACTCTGTAAACTAAACTAAAAATCCCAAAAAAAATTGTTTAGTCCTGTTACAAAACGTTTCGTATTCTGAAAACATAATAGTTGACTGGACTAAACTAATTTTTAGTTATTTTTAGTATAGTTTAGAGAGATTTTGCGAAGAACAGAATTAGCAACATAATAGTTGACTGGACTAAAATAATTTTTAGTTATTTTTAGTTTAGTTTAGAGAGTTTTCGAACAACAGAATTAGCAACATAATATTTGACTGGACTAAACTAATTTTTAGTTATTTTTAGTTTAGTTAAGAGAGTTTTCGAACAACAGAATTAGCAACATAATAGTTGATTGGACTAAACTAATTTTTAGTTATTTTTAGTTTAGTTTAGAGAGTTTTCGAACTTTATTTTATAGCTAACTTTATTCATTTGGTCTGATTCAAACTAGGTAATGCCTTTACTATAGTAACCGTTAAAATCATAGATTTATTATTAGAAATTATAGCAGCACACAATTATTATGATGGTGTTCATCTAACACTTATCTGTTCTGGCTGTGAATCGAAGCTACGAACCTCTCTCAGGAGTCGGAAACTTCTAGATCAACAGCCTTTAGTATTCGACGTAAAGTGAAAAATATACTAAATAACTTTGATTAATACTCTAACATATTTTATCTATAACAGCATTCCACATTTAAAACGGTGTTTTCTACTAATGGTCAAAAAAACATAATATAACAGATATTCTAGTTCAATCGCTTTAATATTCGTCTAAAGATCTTTACCTAGCAACTTGTCTCAACTCCATTTCAACCTTCTCCCGATCAGCCTCAACGAATTTGATCTTCTCACAGAGCGACGCCTTGTCAGCCTCCAGCTCCATACGAGTTTGTTCTGCGGCGAGTAACTCTTTACGTAGAGAATTTAGATCACCCTGTAGATCCGATGATTGATTTGAAAGACCTGATTTCTCATCCTCCAACTGTAAAGGTTAAATAATTATGTTAATACGCTACATCAAAAATTTATATTCATACTTAAAATAGGGGGAAACTACAGTAGATGATAATATTATTAACTGTTTTCTAAGAATGACTTAGTAGACATTATTATAACCAAGTTATTGGGTGACAGCATTGGACCGCCTAAAATGGTGTATAATGGTGGGGTGGAAAAAGGGTAGACGACATTATAAATACCTAATCTTGAGTTTAAAAGTGTATATCATCAACAGCCTATGACAGTCCACTGCTGGACGTAAGCCTCTCCTTAAAAAGGAGGTTTGGCCTACTATACTAAGCTGGCCAGACGGGTTGGTATAGGATTTGTGTCAAGTTTTCCTTCTGTTTGCAGTACTGGTGTCTTGCGAAGTCGGCTCTTACGACACCCACGGGATGACAGGTGACGCTCCGTATTCTTAATCCGTCACCACACGGATAATGTCATACTAATTTAATAAAAAATATTTGCATAACTGTTTTAAATACATCTAATATTTACTGTACAATATACACTCAATCAAAAACAAAACTAAAATTAGAATGTACCTGTTTCACATCATCCTGCAGTTTCTTCTTATCACCTTCGAGGTTTCTGACTGCTGCCTCTAGTTTCTCCACGAGATTTTGCAAGTCTCCCCTTTCAATAAGAGTTCTCTCCAGTTCTATCTCAAGGTCACCTGATAACAAGAAAATATTTATCATAACTGCTTAAGATGAAGTTATATTCTTCCAGTTTTACAAACTAGCGTTAGTTAAGTATGTTAAAGTGAGAGAATGTAGATTTTGGAACTTAATGTTTTTTTTTCGTATAAAAGATAACTCCCGCATAAGGAGTATATCCTGTGTGCGGGGGACTTTACAAACATACATGAAACGGACACAAAGAACACCCAGACTTAGAACAACAATTTGTGGATCACACAAAGTGTCGTCCCATGTGGGGTTTGAACCCACAACACTAGGCGTAGTAGGAAGCGTCGTGGCGACCGCTAAAACCACTACGCCATCCGTGCAGTCTTTGACTATTTAGCGATGTAGTATTGGTATTTTTCGGACCAGGTATATCAGATCTACATTATATACTGAACGTTTGTAGATTTTACAGGCATTTGCATTTTTTTAACTTATAACATAAATCTATTTGCACTTTTCTTTTTTTTAACGGTCAAAATTTCTTTTTTTAATTATAAAATTAGTAACCAAATCGGTACGCAGCTTTATGATACCACATAAACTCATTCCAGTTTCCCTGAGCATCATTATCATTGACATTCAGTAGTAGCCACTTACTTCTGTGTTTCTCCATTTGCGACAGTATAGCGTCACCTTCCAACTTCTGTTGATCCAATAAGTCTCTGGCTAAGAGGGTTTTGTTGAGCTCTTCCCTAGTCGACACCAGCTCTGAGCGTAGGCGCGAAGAACGTTCTTCTTCAGCCCTGGACAGTTTTATATATATATATATATTTTATAATATTATTGTTTTTAATTTTATTTTTAGTCTTTTCTTGACTATAGTTATTGTTTCACTTGTTATAAATTTTGTGTAAATCCTCTGATATTGGCTCTACATTTAAAAAATTTAAACTTTATAATTATAAGTATTAACTATTATTACTGATGTGCTTTTAACAATATTTTTTGAGTGCAGGTGTCCATGGGCGGCGGTAGTTGCTTTCCAACAGGTGACCCGTCTGCTCGTTTGCCCCCTTATACCATAAAAAAAACTCGTAACTGATAGAATTTTATTGATGTATGCTATGTTCTTATAGCACAAGAGCTCAGGAGAGTTTTACAGCAGTAGACAGCGAATATTTTCACTAACTCGTGATAAAAAATACTTGATTGTCAAATGACCGTATACTACATGTAACTAAAGTACCTCAACACTCCCTCCCGACTGGACGCCTCACGATGCAACTGATCCACTTCACAGTTCAGGTTCCTCTTCTCAGTCTCCAAAACCTCTATCATTTTCTCTAGACGAGAGTTAATCTTCTGAAGTTTCTCGTAATCCGATGTCAAAGATTCCACCTACAAATAATATCCAGTTACAAAATGTTTTAAAAGGGCTTATCGTTTTTTTTATTTATTTCTTATTATAATTAAGCTCTCCCAAATAACATAGACACTCACCATAGCATTAATTTCTACTCTGTTTCGTTCTAGATTGTTCTTGTCTATTCTGAGCGCCTCGAGCGTCTTCTGCATTGACTCTTTCTCTTGCAAGAGTTGATGAAGATCAGCATTGGCTTGATCTAGTTTACCTAAAGAAATTTGCATTTATTACAATAACACAATCATATCTTTCTGTCAGTATTTAGTTATTTCATCTCTTTCTCTTTTAAAATATCATCAGTGATTGTGAAAAGAGTCATGCAAACCCCATAAGGTTCTAAAAAGTTGTGAAAACTTGAGTCATAGGCTCTTAATCCTAAATAATTATTCAAAACGTCAATTGATTCTCCTTACACCTTTAGGTAAAGCCCTGGAGGCATATGGTTTAAAAAAAAAGGGTTATTAAAAACATTCATGAAACGGACACAAAACTTCCAGAGTCAACAACAATTTGTAGATCACACAAAGTGCTGTCCCAAGTGGGAATCAAACCCACAACACTCAACGCAGAAGCAAGCGGTGAGGTGACCTCTTAAACCACTACGCCATCCGTGCAGTCGTATAAAAAAAAAATTGCTTTAATGGTTTACCTTGTAGATCTTGAACTTTGCTCTCAAGAGAAGCGATAGCCATGTCGGCCGCCTCGCCATGTTTTCTACACGTTATCAACTGCTCTCTGGAGTTTTGCAGTTTTACCTGAACAAAACATGATAATCAATTGTTTAGTAGGAAGTCGGTGATCAACGCTGCAATAGAATCATGCACAAATAATATATTTATTTATTGGACAGCCAGTAGTTGCTACATTATTTACTAAAATCTAAAGCATATATTATTAATAGGGTTTTTGGCACATAAGTTCTTTATCTGGACTTCATCCAGAGGTGGCATTTCAACAGTAATTTACTAAAATTGTTTACAATCAAACTTATGATTCAATTTTTATTCCATTCCATAGTGTGTAGTAATAGAGAGTAAACTTAGTAAGTATCATTGTAAATCTCGTCGCATATCAGTCGCTGGACGATTGGGAAGGAGAAAAAGGCTGAATATTTTAATATTCAGATCACATTATTCTGTCGCTGCTTAATTTTATTTTCATATTTATTTATATTCTATAATTTTTTTAGTTTAATTTATTGTGTTTTTATAGATTTATTTATTTACCGCATAAATTTTTACTACTAATATCCGTCGGTCGACTAAGAACAAATAAGGGATAGATATGGAAAACTTACATATCAACATTTTGACATGACGACACTGAAGCTCGTAAATTAAACAAATAAAAAAAGAGCGGACCCTATAATTAACGCATATGAGGTATAACACCTGACTTCTGAACTACGAGTATCATCCCACGACTAACACTAGGACCGCGCACAATTGGTCAAATCATATTTTACTTGACCAATTAAAGGAATCCGGGAAAGCGGCTTCCTGTTACACACTGCCGTCCCTTTTAACGACATTGCAGGAAAGCGAGAGGAAAGATGTTACGCATTAAAAAAGGTAACTATTTTGGTAACTTAAGATTTAAAAGTGACGTACAAAAGTAATTGCCATAAATCTCACCTGTAGTTCGTGTATTTGTATCTGGTACTTGTGCAGCACAGCCTGTACGGCCGATATGGTGCTTTCGGCGAAGGCTGTCGCGTTGGCCGACGACGACACACGCTTTGGTGATCTGTCAAAGTACTCATTGGATTAAGATACGTGTAAAGATATACAAACGAGAATCTAAGTTAGTTATTCTTACGAAAATTGTGTAGATACTCAGAGTCCATTTTTTTCATTATTCCTCGTATCTTGCACAATCCATTGAGATATGTCTCAATGGATTGTGCAATTGTATAATGTGTTGTGGAGTTATCCATATGCCGTCCGTGTGGTGACGGATTAAGAATACGTGTCGCTACTCCTATTTATCACGTGGAGCCGACTAAGGGAGCAAACTCTGCAGAACAACAGCACTGGTAAGAGAAGGAAAACTTGAAACAAACCTTATACCAACCCGTCTGGCCAGCGTGGTAGAGTAGACCAAAACCTCCCTTCTAAGGATAGGCATAGGCCTGCTGGACATAGGTCCAGCAGTGGACTGTTAAAGACTGTTGATGATGATGAATGATGAGAGTATGCCTCGTTCAGTATCCGAACAGTTTAGTTGAGTAAGGGCGTGCACCTGTCGTGTAGATGCACGTGCGGCGCGTGCGGCGGGTGCGGCGCGTGCGCAGGCGCGTCGGTGTCGGAGTCGTGTATGAGCGCGCGCGCCACCTCCTCCAGCGCGCCGCGCATCACGTTCGCCTCACTGCATGCGACTTCAGCCATTTCACAACGCTCTTCCTAAAAATAAGCATCTCACTCTCAATAAAGTTTTCTTTAAACAAACATAAAGGTTCCGTACGATAAGTACGTTATGTACTTGTAAACTTTTAGAATATTTTATCAGTACCTATTGGTTGCCTACAGCTTCGATCGCGCAAAACAAATCTTGTCATCAATTTAAGTATTCCTCGGAACAGTATGTCTCTAGTAGTATAACCCTTGTTTTGTAATAGTTAGTCCTTTTTATAGCCTTACAAATGTTTTTGCAAAAATTAATAACAATCGGGTAGAGTAGTCAATACTTAAAGAGTAAAAAAGAGACTAATTTAGATTCACATTCATAACATGATTACTAAACTTAAAAATAAATATAATTTTAAATAATAGTGTGGAATATTTATCCAATCAAAGGCCAATTTGTAGGCAATATCTACGACGTTAAGGTAAAACAATAAATTGTTAAATAACAATGGGGAATCTCACAAGCCCCTGCAGTTCTCCCAGCAGTCTCTGTATCCGCGCGTCTCGCTCCCTTAGTTCAGCGAGCGCGGTGTCCCTCTGCGCCGTCATGTCGCGCAGGTCCACGCGCATGCTCTCCACGTTGATGTTGCCAGAGGCCGTTGTTGAAAGCCCCGTTGCTGCTGACTGCCCGGTGCCGCACGGGCCACAGAAAGATTGCTGTCCAGACTGGCAATACTGGCCTCCAGACTGGCATTCCAGTTGTTGTTGCTATTAAGAGTAAATAGAACTTGATAAATGGCTTTCTACCCGATACTTAGACATAATATTTTGCTCATCATAATTGCTGTAGTTATAATCAATATGTGGTGGTATACTGCGTGTTAGTCTTTACAAAATCTTCTGAAAATCTTAACATGAGCGTTTTCTAATTTAGTCTGGCTGAACCCAATTTACATTTATTAACATATTTTTAAAACCATGTATTAGCCTATCGCGGTCCACTGCTGGACATAGGGCTCTCAGATTGCACGCCATTTCAATTAATTTTGAGCTTCTCGCTTCAAGCTCCTGCCAGGCAACTAACCATAAACCTATCTATACAAATAAATAAAATTGGAGTGTCTGTTTGTAGTATTAAAATAGCCGCTTTTTACTAAATGCAAAATGTATGTTTACACGGTACATATGCCAAAATATCATTTTTTACAATTTTTGTCTGTCTGTCTGTCTGTTTGTTCCGGGTAATCTCTGGAACGGCTGGACCGATTTCGATTGGACTTTTACTGGCAGATAGCTGATGACATAAGGAGTAACTTAGGCTACTTTTTTTAGACTAGCTTCGCCCCGCGGCGTTGCCCGCGGTTATAAACACAGACGCGGGTAACACCGCGGGTCTCAGCTAGTATTGAATATAAAACAAACTGATACATTTTATAGGTATACTTGAGTATCAGTCAGTTATCACTGTAATTGTCACTGCATCTTAAATTGCATAGTTGCCTATAGCTGAAACATTTTTTTTATGTATTAAATAGGGCTGTGAAAAAGTGTACTTGTTACCATTTCCAAATTTGTAAAATAAGTGATGAAAGATAAATGAGATCTCCAGTGAGCTTTTACTTTTTATCAGACTTCATAAGGGAAATTAAAATCTACTACAAATATGTCTCACCTTACATGGTCCAGCTGTAGCCAAACCAGTCTGTGCAGCGAACGCATTCATGGAATACCCGCTGAGCACGCCAACCAGCTCCCTGACATTTGAATCAAAGTCGTTCTTGACTCGATAGAGGTCACGCTCGGTGTTGGTTTGCAGCTCAGAGAAGTGGCGCTTCACGGATACAACTTCACGCCACAAACTGAGTAAGCGGTTGTGCTCGCTGGAGTAGTAGTCATTGAAAGCCTAACAACAAAAATAACGTTTGTTTGTGTCTTTATGGTACAGGATCTTTTAATACATTATATGCTAATATTCACAGGTATACTCGTACATTCTTCTCTCTAATGTATACTCAAAGTTTCAAGTAATAAATTTACTAAAAGTAATCACTAAAATCAAAATAAAGCCCAATAAAAAAAAACGAACCTGTTCCTCATCTTTCCATTCATCTTCTTTGATAGCCATCTCATCGCGCAATCCCTCCCAATCATTGGTGAGTTTTTGCAAGTCAGCAGTCAAAGCTTCATTTAATTGATGAGACTCCTCCAGCTGGTCACGGAGCAAGGTGTTTTGATGGGCTAGTTTCTCACATCTAATAAGAATGTAAGTACAAACACCTTTTTTATGTTAATGGATTTAATAAAGCCTATAAAGATACATAATACCACTCACCATATATAACAATATGTATGGTGTAGAAAAGAATAAACTTCATTGTGTCTACAATGTTGTGTTGTTTAAAAAACATGTAGAATAATCATGAAATTTTTACTAGTATAAAGAAAACAGCATTCGATTTGGATAATAAGTAAAAAACAAAAGTAGCTGATTATAATTCAGTCAGCCCTAGCAATATCTATATAAATGCACCTTAATACATACAATAGTCTGTAAAACATTTTTAAACAAACATGTAATATAAATAAATACATATATAATATTTATATTATAATTACAGAGGAATACAACAGATAAAATACTTTAGGTTAAGAATAAATTAAGATGACAGGTAATGTTTTTTGACCATTTCCTAAAGATAGACAAAGTTTTGGCACTCTTTATAGCTATTTGACGACCGAATGGCATAGTGGTTTGTGTAACGGACTGCTATTCCAAAGGTTGCGGGTTTGATTCCCGCTCAAGTCAAACATTTGTGTGCATGAACATTTAATGTTTGATTTGGTCTGGGTGTTTCTATGTATAATGTGTATGTATTTACACAAAAAAAAGTATATATGTATTTATATCAGTTGTCTAGTAGCCATAGTACAAGCTCTGCTTAGTTTGGGACTAGATGGCATTGTGTGAATGTAGGAAAATATATTATATTAATATAGTAAAATTTTTTTGCTTATCTAATGATTTTCCTAGCAGATCTAACATTGACACCATGATATAAACTTTTAACTAACTTTTTTAAAACAACAGACTGAACTGTTAATTGTTGTTGTTGTTAATAGCTTTTAACTGTTGTTTTCATACATTTTGATTTATCACTTCTGTGTTTTCAAAAGCAACTGCCTAAGACGACATTGGGAAAGCTAATAGCTGATGATTGTGAAAGTGACAACTTTAGTATTTTGCCCAAATTTAAATAATGGAAAAGAGATCTGTTTTCTCAAATTTTAATAATGGAGAAGAAATGTGAAGCAGGCATGGTAGGTAGTCCGTACAAGTTTGCTTTCAGACTACCACGAACCATGCTAAACATTTTAGTAGTTTCATTTCAGAACGACAAATGACGACAGAGAGGATTTACTTCAATTTTGCAATTTTAAAGATTTACAATTAACTCACTTGCGCTTTTCCTCGTCTAGTCGTCTTAGCGCAGTCTCAAGATCGTTAATTCTGGCGTCGGCAGCAGCGACGGCGGACGACGTTGCCGAAGCGGGCGGCGGAGGGAGCGCGATGCTAGTTTTAGCGCTAGGACCTCGGTAAGATGAAGGTTCGCTGCGAGGAGTTGCTTCCAGCATATGACTCTCCAGATCGGCGCAACGCTGCTTATATTGCAAAACCTAAAAGAGATGAATGAAACCCTTAAAATTTAAATAGACTATGTTTCTAGGGAAACTAACAAAGCGTAAACATTACAGCGAGCAACAGAGACCACCATAACCTTGATCAGTAGACTTACATTTTAGTAAAGAATGAAATGTTCAAATTTATAAAAGTCAAGGTCTAATAATAAAGGTACCAGTGTTTGTTTACTTTATTTGACTGACAGTTTCTCAGTAAACTTAACTGTCAAGTTTACTGTAAAACTGTCAGTCGGAACGGAGCCTGTCAACTGTGACAGGCTCCGTTCAATAATCAATAACTTCTAGTTTTTTTTAATGCGATGACTCCGTTCTTCGAGTAACGAGAATTTTACTTTAACGCAACGCTATTTAAAGCATTTCACACTTATATTTTTACAGCGATTCATTGCGACTTAAGCATAGTCGTAATGAAAGCATGAAACAATTTAATTAAATGAAATACATAAAATAAATTTATTAAAATAAAAGCATAAAAATATTAAACAGGGACTGAATTCAAGAATTTCTTTAAATTAGCACTTTAATTGTACTTAAAAGAAAAACTTAATAAAAAAAACTTGGTTAAACAAAAGGAGATGCAACTTAGAGTAAAGAGAAACTGATTAATGATTTTGGAGAGAAAAGACCAAAGGTTCTTAGGAATGGATCGGTATTGTCGATACCACTTCTGTTATAAGATTATCAGGTAAAAACTATTTTATTGTTTAAAAACTATTATATAGGTATATGTGTTCAGATTGGATGTGATTGTGTTAACATGTAAAAGTTTATTAACGCACGTTAGCAAAATTGCGCCCTTAGTGACCGTTATATGAACATTGTTTTCTTTCTTTAATTCCTATTAAGGGGAACTCAATTTGATCAATAGTAATGCTTACAGAATCTAGTTTTCGTCAACAGTGTGAATCAGTCAAAGGACTATCTAGAATTTAGCAAAAAAAAAACACTTTGTAGACAAAATATTTTACCTTTGCCTGAAGCCTGGAAACCAATTGCGCTTGTCCTTGTTGCGCCCTGCGATAAGCGTCTAATCTTCGTTTATGGTCGGCAGCTTCACCCGCCAAGCGAGCGCGAAGCTCTTCATTCTGTCGCCGCAAGTCGCTACTACTGACGCTACCCACCGGAGAATCCATCTCTGGAGGACTATCCAGGGATTTCTAGGCAGATAATAAAAGTTTCCTTAACAATTTAATTGGTTAAAATCAGTTATTCATATATATTCTAGTGGTTAGTAGAATGTTAGAAATTAGAGGTGCTACCTAATTTAATATTATAACCCACTCTAAAATATAATTCACCAAGAGCGTTTAGTTAAAAGCATAATAAACGAATCTGTTTATATATTTTTTTCAAAAACTATTTTTTTTAATAGCTAAGTAACTCACAATATTAAACTTTTTATTTCATTCAAACATTTATCTCGTTCTTGTTTTACTTAACACCTTAATATATAAGTACTTATGAATACTTACATATTAACGAAATTCACCTATTAAAATATTATTATGTACGTTCAACAGTCTAGAACTTATAAATAAATAATTAATAATAACAGAAAGTACCACGGGTTTCACATTACCAATAGTTTTGCTACCGACTTAGCTGTTACGCCACTTGTTTCTTCGTATCTTTCAATCATTGCAAAGTGCATTACACTTTATCGCTATTTTCGTCATCCCTACCTACCAGGAAAAAGACGTATCAAGTGCTATTTATTCCCTGCCTTCCATGTTCAACTCTGTTTATAATTTAAATAGTTTTGTTATCCTATTTACCTCCTTCCTTAGACGTTGATGTGGCAAAGTGCTCGGTCGTCGGCCAATCGGAGCTCTGGCGCTCCGAGGCGTTGCTAGACTATCCCTGGTAGGCAACTGAGATAAAGAAACACATCATTTAACACTTCTAACCACTATATTGTCGATATATTTAATTTAGCATAAAATGTGGCAACATCTTTTGCAATATCGACCTGAAAAGTAACTTTCTTCTTTATTTTCTTTTGTTTCGTTTCCAAATAAATATGACGAGCGGATTTAAATTCGAAAGACATTTTGCACGAACTTTTAACTCATTCACTATCTAGATCAGAAGAAAAAACATTCATGAAAACGTGAGGAAGTAAAAAGGAGGTTGAAACAAAAATAAAAAGACTACATTCTGAAGTGCGGCAACAACGTAAATGCGGTTTCTACTGCAGAAATGAGCCGGCGAGCTTTCCGTAGGGAGGGAATAATTCCGGCTATCGGACAAGGCATCTAATTACTACCGCCTACAAAGTTATTACTCACCGAGACCCCTGTTAAGGTAAATATACCGGTCCCCCTTTTTACTAAATACGTATATTGTCGTCTAGTACTAGTAACACCCAGCAATAATAATTGCAAGTCATTATGTTACTGCTGTTTTTATTGATTCAACATCACCGAATCAGTAAAAAAAGTAGTTTCTTTTCCGACCGACTTTAACTCTTAGTTTTATGTCAAGTTCTATCTTCATGTCAGGTAGTAAATCTTAACTGCAACTGTAAGCCAGCAGATCGTAAAAGAAGTCCAACCTGCCTAGATGAGAACCAACAAGTTAGATTTTCTTAAGTTGGACATTCGTATCAATTTTTTTTCTTTTCTAAACGACGAGTGTTATATTGACGTATACTATAATATATATCACTATACTACCGCATTGGATATTGCTATTATGTCCAATGCGGTCCAATAGAAAAAAGAAACGTAGCCGCTTTCCTAACTTAAAGTTATTTCATCACATCATCTACAGCCTTTACTAGTCTACTGCTGGACATAGGCCTCTCTTTAGAAAGGAGGTTTTGGCCTACTATACCACGCTAGAAAGACCGGTTGGTATACGGTTGTTTCAAGTTTTCCTTCTCTCTGCAGTGCTGTTGTCTTGCGTAGTTTTCTCCCTTAGTCGACTTTTACGACACCCACGACCCACGGGATGAATAGGGTGGTGGTGACAGGCTGTATTCTTAATCCGACACCACACAGACTGTTATTTCATATCTATACATATTACAAAATACCTCACGATACCGACGCGTTAAATTAAAAATATAAACGTACGAGTATCTTGGTGTGAACAAAGCTTAATTGTGTTAATGCTCGCCCGAATGGATAGATTTCTAACCACGGAAGTTTGAGGTACTATCCAGGTAACCCCAATTTCGTATTTCTTTCATTTGGCATTCCTAATACCTGAATAAAAAACGAAACAGACGAAAGCGTTTGTACATAGCAACCGACTAAGTAAGTAGTTAATGTGCGTTTTTCAATTTATTAGTTGTATATAAATGTAACCCTTTTGAATCGTTAATTAAATAATACTTGTTTCAGGAAATTGGCGTAACAGTGATATATCACTGTCAATAATACAGATAAAATGATAAAGGTACAAGTATAATTTAATTCGTTTGATGTGCTTTAGAAAATGGTATTATGTTAAAATTTCCGGTTACTTTACTTGCGTCAGAAGAAATCTATGGCTATTGTTTTTTTATACCTAAATTTTTTATTTATTTTTTTAGTAAAATAGAGCAGAGGAAAATCTTTTTAGAGAGATTGTTTTTTTATGATATAAAGATATTTTGAGTTTGAGAAAATACTAATAATCGTAGTTCAAAAGATATGGAGATTTCTTAAAGCCATAACGATTAGCACAATTCTTATTTGTTTTTAAAGTGAAAAGTTATTTAGGCGCTTTGGGCATTTTTGAACAACTTATAGGAGGGATTTGTAGAGCTTAGCAGAGGTTTTAGAAGAAAAGGATTTAGAGAAATGCTTTTTTTTGTTCTTTCGACATAGTATTCTTGCCCTTCTTGCCCTCTAGGGTGGAGTTAATAACAGTAGGCTGAACTATTACCTAGTATTAGGTTATACTTCAATTACCTTACCGTTATATAGTAAAGCATTGTTAACCTAGTAAAGTTAACCTTGTATAGCAAACTTTGTAAACAAACAATAATTTATTTTTTAAATAAATTATAGTTTGTTTACAAAAAAAAACTCGTACTATTCTTTTCACACATTGCTATTGTACTACTAGTTTAGAAAATATGTTCAAAGCTTACCTATTTGTAAATACAGGTGGCAGTGTCCATGTTTCGTTGTCAGTGTTTCGATCAAAATTTGTAATATTATTTCATAATACGCACGTATCCTAGCAACGCAATCAACGCCAACCATTTGTTCAATGCATTAATTCGTCATAGCGAAGAATTCGTTTATTTGAAAAATATTTGGATATATTTTTACAAACATAATGTAATATCGACGCGCGTTTTTATACTAAATATTTGCTAAATAATCCACCTAATTCGGGTTTCATTTGTTAAATTTTTACGTGAATCCAGAAAACGCTAGTACTATTTTTGTTTTTGGTTCGATTTTTAAACACCTACAGAAAAAAAATTAACAACCAGTGCATGCAAGCGACATGGCAAGGTCTGAAAATCATAACTAAACTATTTTTTATTTTTATTTGACGCGTGTGTTCAGCAAAAAGTTTAAGGGTGGACTGTTTAAAAATGTACGTATTACACTATAAACGAGGGGCGACCGATTTGCTTGACTGAGCACCCCCATAAGTTCAGGTGTATGGTACCTACTTACTTCAATGATACAATAATGATAACACCTTTTTATTGGGGTTCGACATTGTACATTATAAGGACTCACGTACTTACAAGTACAACATGTAGTAAGTACGTTTATGTAGATTTAGCATTCTATATCGATTAACAAAAATGAATCACATTTAAAGGTAGATATCGTTTAAATCCGTATAATATATGCTCATCGTACCGATACGCACCAATTCACATTAAAATTTATCAATTGGCAGTAGACAGGCCCCAAATAGATAAAAATGAGATAACACTCACTCAAAAAAACATTTTATTATTGCACCTACCGCATCATAATTTTACGTTGACTGGGAGAGAATGCCCCATTTCATTAAGTCCGCCTTACAAATGTGGACTTAATGAAATTCATTCTCATGCATTCTCATTATGTGCAATCTGTAATATCTCGTTTATATTTTAGTTTAAATAAAAAAAAACTAAAAAATAAACGAGATATTACAGAAATTTATATTTTATTTTCCGCAAAAGAATGTTACGGTTTAAGAATCTTTATTTCTCAAAAGAATTTAAAAAACACCACTTACTGAGAAAACATACATTAAAGTAAACAAAATAGATCTATTGAGCGTGAATATAACATAAAATAAAAGTGGGTAGTCAAATATATTTTGCACAAGATTACAAACTTGCAATCCACTCGAACACAGAAACTAAGAAACTAAGTTTAGTACTAGAAGATGCCTGGTACTATTTATTTTTGATCAATTTTATTCTTAATTTTGGTGCTTAAGTCAATAGTGGCCGAAATAGTATTTGAAAGTGGACGAAAACCATATAGTCTACAATGAAAAAAGTCTTCTGATTTTAAAAAGGTTTCCAGTTGGTAAAAACAATACTATAAAAACAATTTAATTGAGAATTTGTTTGATACGATATTTTTTTTTTCTTTTTTGTTTCTCTGTATTTTATATAATCTATGGTCTACTTACCTACTTACTAATGCGGTACCAAAGTGCAAGATATATCGATAAAACAGAGATTGTTGCTATTGTGTGTTGATCTATGACTTTCGAGTCTAAATAAAAAACGATTTCAAACAATTTTTTTTATGAAATTAACATATTTTGAGTTTGAGGAAATACTAACAATCATAGTTCAAAAGATATGGCGATTTCTTAAACCCATAAAGATTAGCAATATTTTCTTTTGTTTTTTGAAGTGAAAAGTTATTTAGACGGGTTGGGCATTTTTGAACAACAAATAAAAATGTATTTAATGAAAAAAAATATATTGAACTCGCAACACTGTTACCGTTACCAACGCATCTGTTGAAGTGAGAACTTCTTTAGGCGCGTGATACCGTTACCGTTACCGACACCTCTGCATATAAGTATATCATAAGTTTTCACTTCTGTCGGCACTCCCGGAGTGCCACTGTTTTAGGAGAGTAAACGAGCAGACGTGACTGATAGTAAGTGACTACTGCGGCCAATAGACAGTTGCAACTTAAAGATTCACAAGTACGTTTCCAACCAT